TATATCATTGACTTTACACAAAATACTAAATATAAAGTGGGAATATTTGTCACATCTCGGAATTAGCACATATAAACAAGCTTATACTTACGGTATAATTAAGTTCTGTGTCAAAAATAAGTTCTAGACCAGTGGTATAGCCAGGAATAATCTATTTTCGCCATAATATTAGTACAAACTTTTGAAAATTTTACATGGGCCTTATGGGACGCCATTCCTCCATTCTTTTTATTTGTTTACTTTTTAAGACTTAAAATTTTGCAGTGTACTGAAGACGAAGAGAAAGAGAAAGACATTGCTCCTATTCATTCATAGAATACAGTAAATGATTTTATGCATAAAAGTTTTTACATCACAACAATAAACTATATATATATATATATATATATATATATATATATATATATCATCCTCAGCTTTGATTACTGTAGATTTTCATACTTTTTCCAACAAAACACGCGATATATAGATTTTATTTTTATTTTTAAGACAGGTTTTTTAATAATTATTATCACTGAATTACTCTTTTCGTCGGTTGTCTTCTGTTTCAGAAATTATTTTGTCTGTCAGGAGTCTGAGGTCTGATGTAATAGCCTACCTAAGTTATTACGTTTCGCAAAGTAAACAGTGTGGATTGTACTGGATGATTGGGCTCTGTTTCATAAGAATAAAATAAATCAAACCACTTAAGATCCATTCTAAAGTTTAGGCCGTTTTGAGATGGATGCGCTTTCAGGTTAGCCCAGCCTTGATCTGATTGTTGATCTGTAACGTCCACGCATGGGAAGGGCAGAAACTCACTAAACGAATGCCGAGTTGAAAATTCAACACATGATTTATTAATACAATAAGGCTATTTATGACATATTTAGTCCCTAGCGTACTGTTTAGTTTTGTTTAATGCTTATGTGTTTATGTTTTATCCATAATGGATGTTGATCCTAATGATCGAGTTGCTTTTGAGCCTGAGAATAAGATAATTCCTTTTAGGCAATGGCAGAGAAAAGCTAGATTGAGCGGGGAATCTTTTGAACACAGAAGAAGAAACTAGTGCCTGGAAGACTGCCCCCTACAGATAAGGTTAGTTTTAAATTTATAATTTTATAAGGCTATTTATGACATATTTTGTCCCTAGTGTAAACAAAAAACAGTTCAGTCGTGTTTCAATACCAGTAAACCATAACCTAGAAAAACCAATTTAAATTGCACTAGGCCTTCTACATAACCGAACTTTTATGTGCTTTCCTAAACCTAAATTTATACTTTGTAGTTTTGATTATTGTAGTCTATCTCATTCGGCCAATGGGAAGCGAAATTCATCAATGGGCAACTGCTCACACGTTACTGTGGAATATACAGAGTGAACAACTTAACCATGCCACCATTGGTATCTCAGAAACTATTAGATTTAGAGAGAACATTAAATGGAAAACTTCAAATGGTTTAAAATGACATTAAAAATTTTGAATTCCAATGTTTCAAATGGCCGCAGTTTTCCAATATGGCGGCTAACTTCAAAATTTCTTATAGAACACCCTGTATTTTATGATTTTATTGTTTTACATTCTAGATGCTTTTTAAAGACTTTCTTACTCTTGTAGTTTGTTGTCTAAACTTACTCGTTTAGGAGCTACAGCGTTAGGGACTAAAAGGACGGTTATGAGTATTGATTTAAATCCACCTTTGAAAGTAATTATATCGCCTGATACTTTTTTTATAATTAGCTGCAATGTGTAGCAAAAATGTTATAGAAATCTTACATTTAGAAATTTGACATTTATAACAAAATATCATATTAGTTAAAACATTTTCAAGTTTAGGAAGCCGTTCACAGTCATAACTTTGACGTATTGGAATGTATTTGCCAATAAGTCTCATAATTTTAAGAAAGGGTATCACTGAAGTACATTAAAGGGCTGGATTTTCTGGCACTATCCTAACATCCTGGATCGAACTTAATTTACTTTTAATATAAAAACGTTATACAGTGAATTAGTCTGCTGTCTACAAATTTTGCGAGGAAATAGCAGAAAACTGTATTAATTATAATAGGCTATTTTATACACGTAATTTTTTCCGTTCTATAACAATGAGAAGACTACATTGCAGAATCCAATTAAAATTCATACTATAAGTAGGACTGGAAGCAGCCATGAGGGAATTGGTCAAGCAGCTTCAAAAACCCCTAAAGTAGTCGTTCGAACTGCAACTAAATAAATAAAAATTAAAAAAAAAAAACAGCACAAGAGAAGCGCGAGTATGAGCAGGGGAAATTCATACAAAGAGAAAAAATAAGAGCCGATCCCGAACAGCTGAAAAAACCAATAGAGTACGAGAGAAATAGAAACAAAAGAAGAAGACTTGAAGGGAAAATAAAACCTATATCACAGATGACAAAAAGAGAGAAAAGAAAGCAGCGGAAAAAGTGGAGAGAAAATTGGAAGAGGTAGTGATAGAAAGAAAATGGAAAAAATTATGAACAATGTATTCTAAATGATGGACCGTCAGCTTCACTGGGCTAATTTGTACAAATGCTCTTCATAGTCAAACAAATTGTCGGTAAGTAAAAACGTTGGAGGTGATAGAAGTAAAATGTACAGAAAGATTCAAGATCAAGCAGGATAATTTAAAAAAATCAAATGCATTATCCAAGAAATGGAAGAAAAAATATTTAAAGTTATTGAAAGTTAAGACAAACAAATCACCAACCCCATGAAAAAAAGTTAATATGAAAATAGAAGAAGAAATGAAAGAATTAAAGAAGAAATTGCTGTTTGGAGAAGAGTCAGTTGAAAAATAAAGCTCGTCGTTTAACTAACCAAGCTGACAAGCAAATGGCGAGTTAGGTAAAAAATATATGTGATTGAAGGAAGCTAGGTATTTTTTTGAAGAGATCAGAAGTGAAATACAGGAGAACAGACTCAGTGGGGAGGAGATTGATTGTTTACCAAAGGGGGAAAAAGGGTGCAAGAATTTGACATAGTAGACTCCCTCTTGTGCGGTCATCTTTTAACCGGACATCGGTTTAACCGGACTACACTCGGCGGAAATGATATCTCTTTAACGGACAATTTTTATCAGCACATTGGTTTAACCGGACTTGTTCGGCAGGAAGTGGGCAGTACTGAAACGACTGTTCTCATAGGAAAGATTTGAGACCAGTGATCACGTGTCTAAATACAATGCTATCCTAATTTTTTGTTGAATATCACAGTAAACAGTCCGTTTTAACGAGATTTTGGGGACGTCGGTTTAACCGGAAAATCCGTTATCCGGACTGGCCTTGGTCCCGAGGAGTCCGGATAAGAGGGAATCTACTGGGCAAGTAAAGGACGTAAGAAACTTTTTAGAAGATGATTCAAACAGTTGCATTGCTCCTTGGAGGAAAAGCATGATCACAAAAAAGATTATAAGAAAGAGATATTTGATGAATTCTCTTCAAAATTTACACAAAAAGTTTGGTGAGTCACGTCAGAGGAGTTTGTCTAGTTGTCACGCAGGTAGCTCCTGTGACACTTCAGAGCAAACCAATCTATGCTGAACCACAAGCGTTTTGGCTATCAAGCTGAGAAGTGCATTCCACCATGTAATTTCACTTCTCCGACAAACTCCAAAGGCAGCTAGTGATGGCGTCAGCTGACTGCCAAGCTGGAGGGCGCCGCCTACAAATCGAATTTCCGCCTTCTTCATAGAATCTGTCTCTTCCATCTTGGCCTTGGTACGTTGAGGTTCGCTATTTAGCGTCCTGTGACATCCTTTTTAAAATTATCTATAATTCGGCCCCCTACATTCTAAATTATAATCAATTGGTATTAATTATAAACCCAAGGCCAAGTCGAGCACTTTAAATATTCAAGAAACTTCATTATGTCTTCCTCAAATGGGGAAGACCCTAATCGTCGATTAAAGCCTGAACGTTGTCCCGAGCAGCATCCTAAAGCTGCCGGGTCAAATGCCGTCTCCGTGGAGCTGGCCCCATCACTCAACAATAGACTCACTCCCGCTCATCCCCCGTCTCAAAATAACCAACATCCTCCAGCCAATCCGCCTCCTCCAGCCAACCGTCCTCCTGCAGTCAACCAACCAGACACTATTCCACGTCCTCATGATAACGACCAACGCGTCTGGCCCTTCTGGATCTAAAAGGAAAAAAACAGATTGTCTCCCAAAACCGAAAAAGGATCCAAAGTTTGGTCCAGATATACGGCCATCGCCAACATGGAGTCATCATGAACAAGATATACCTACCATGTCAGGTATCGTAGAAGGGCAAATGGGGGTTTCAGAAAATGTATCCTCAATGGATGACACCACTCCCTACAAACTGTTCAAAACCATTATTTCAGAAAAGATAATTGAAGATATTGTTTTTCAAACTAACCTATATGCACATAAGTCAGGAAAACGTTATACTCCTACTAATAATAAGAAAATAGATGCATTTTTTGGTATCAATATCTTGATGGGCATAAAACGCCTCCCTAGTTATCGTGATTACTGGTCATCTGCCATAGATCTGAACGACCCTTTTATTAGCAAAATAATGCCACTGACTAGGTTTAGCTGTATGTTAGGAAACCCCCCGCCCATTGTACCCAGAGCTCGTACGACGGCTGATATAGCCTGCGTATCGCTCCATGCGTCGTATCTTTGGTCAAGTTTCAAGATTTTTTTCTCTCGACACCTCACAGAACTAGTAATTCCACTGCATACTCCAAATCCTTGCTTGAAGTAGGCAATGGAACTGTCAGTACTGTTGTGTTTGGTGAGGACAGAGACAGTAGCAGTTTAATACATTTGTCTAGCATTCGATATTTTACTTCCCCGTCTGATCTCATAACTTTTATTTTCCCTGATCATGACCTGAATAACCCCGAACTTACGGCTAGGCGAGCAGAACATTAACGTACGAAATACATGACATTGTTCTTAATACTTCAAGCGGTATTGTACATGAGTTGAGAAGCGCCGATAGTGTGAAAAAGGAGAACGATGACGGCATGGATATTGATGTACACTTGCTGAACCAGGCCACCGGCAAGGGTGTGCCGGACCATGTCCTGCGAATCAAGATCGGCTCCGTTTGCCTCATTATGAGAAATTTGAATATCGACAACGTACTTGTGAACGGTACCAAGGTAATTGTTACGGTTATCAGTCCTCGCTTGATTACCGCTAGACCTCCAATATATATCCAAAAACAAATATACTCAAACGCCAGTGTTTGTGAGAGCCGACCACGACCCGGTCGGCCTGTATCTGCGTTTGCACACGTGCGGGAGTGCAAAGCTGTATGAATGCGTGTTGTGTGAGTGCATTAAGAGAGTAACTGAAAACAAATATCTGGGCATCATCTTTAACAACCGCCTAAAATGGAATTACCATATAACTTATATAAGAAATAAGCTTCGCAAAGTATCCTTTGTTTTTTCACGCATCAACAGGATACTTCCCCCCGACTTGATTAAAACTGTGTAAATTTATGAACAATTTTTGAAAGACTATATTCAAAGGGGCCCCCAAAATGAATTATCCTTCGTTATTTATTTTTAGTAGTCATTGTTATTTATTTTAATCGTTATTTATTTATTTGTTAATTTATTCAAAGTTTAATATTGCAGTTACCATCCTATTTAATTTTTAGTTAGGCCTAATTTTCTCAGTCACTGGTACCAGAAAGTATTGTAAATTCAGAAGGGTAGATTAATTTTTTTTTATTTAAATTTTGATTAAGCTTTTTAAGAGATTTAATATAAATTCTTTGGATAGAGGAAATGATTGTTGTTTGTTGTTATTTGTTGAATTCTGAGACATTATAGGCTTTGTTCACAATTTGATTGTCTTGTAATTCACCCACGGCCTTTCATTTATAGTTAGGGTTGTGGGGTGACCACTCGCACTGTCACTATGGGGGACACGCTTCCAATAGTGGTTCGTCTGGGGACGGTGCGAGGGGTCGGCTCTTGCCGATGATTATACCATGGTAGGCCTACGCCATATCATTCACTACAACTTACACCGCGTCCCATAAACATCTAAATTATATTATCCAAACATACGAACATAGTTGTAGTGTTTAAGTTAGTTAGTGCTAGTGTGGTTGTTTGTATTCTTTTTTATTTACAATTATTTCGTGTATGTTGATAGTTATTGACAAAGGAAATTTTATTTTCAGAAATCACTGAACAAGAAGTAGAACGACTGGTCCGGTTGTTCAGGTTGAACAAGGCGGCCACCGTCCTAGACGTTGGAGGCTATGGGGCGGTGGTCTAATTGGCCACGAGTACCGGGATGGATGTGGCGGTAAAGCGACAATCCAGAAAAACACAGTGGTGTCGTGAGACCCATGAAAACGAAAAAAGGGTAAGCATGTGTTTTAGTTAACAGGTTTTCGATACAAAAGGGATACCATTTTTGGCCATCGCTTTTGCGTACTCCTCGATTTATAGTCAAAGTCGATAAATTGCATATTTTGCCTTCTTTCAGAGTAGAGTAGCTTATCGTTTAGTACTCAGGGGCGATGCACAACAAAATTAGTTTTCCATATTATGTGTGACCCGTTATGACTCTATGTCATGAAATGGTCTTTTCAGATCCTCCTGTTGGCGGAGGCCAAGAAGATGGACGGGGTTGTTCGAATCCTTGGGTACAACTTTATCAATCAAAACCTGGACGCCTCGGGGTATCTCGTAATGGAATGCGCGACGTACAGGTATTTAAAAACTTAAAATAAAAATAAACAATATAGGTCATACAAAAATTTTTTTACGATTCTGTAAGTATCCGGACGTTTGGGTCTGACGGTGATTCACGCGACCTGTTCAAAACTACAGGATATATTAATCTACTTACCACATTACTGTATGTAAATACAAAATAGAAGTGTATATTTTAGCATTTTTTTTTAGTAAATTACTTAAAAAATCGGGCTCGATTATCAGAAGATTTATCTTCTTTATTATCTTATCTGAAGATTTGGCTAGATTTAATGATATTTAAAATCGCTACGACTTAAATCCAGTAGCAAAAATCAAAATATTTGACTGCAATTATAAATGTTTACCGTTACTACCAATAAAATTTTATTCGTATAATTGTTTCTGTTATTCTGTTTTCCATTTACAGTGGTGAAGCCATTGTACGTCGTGACGTCCAACTGCCAACTGCTGAGGACCATGGTGGTGGGGCAGGCGAGGGCGCTGGACCAGGTCCACGCCCTGGGCTATCTGCACAATGACCCCAAGCCGGACAACTTCCTCTTCTTCGCCGAAGGCCAAAAACGGAAGTTGTGCGATTTCGGATTGGCCTACCCCGTAAGTGTTCATCTTTAAAGTCGATTAAATACTGTGTGTACCACATACTACATTAACAAAACAACAACGTACTAAAATGTTAATAACATTTCGACTTCACCAATTAACAATCGAGGTAAATTCAACGCAGCGAGCATGGTGAAAAACGAACATAGCTAAAAATTAGAATATAATATTTCACATAAATTAAGTTCCTACTCAACAAACTTTGAATTCAACCCTGTTTGGATTAGAGTTTCAAGTCTGGGTTTTCCCATGGAAATACCGTAATTCAGTTCAATTGTATTTCAATAAATATCCTACAACCGTGTGAGTAAACCACGTTGGAATTTGAGTTTATATGTGTTTGAAGTCAAAGCACACATTAACACAACCAACAACATGCGTAGAAATTATTTATCTCGTATAAAAATATGTTTTATGTTATATATACGGAACCACCCACGCAATCTTTTAAATTGACAAACGTTAAATTTGACTGTAAATTAATTGGTTTTGTGATATAATATTTTATTAAAAAAGAATATTTCATATTTATTATCCTTGTTATATAGCCCCTTAGCTGAGTTTGTGTGAGAATAACTTACGTGTGCCGTCGATCGGCTCGAATGATGTCAGAAGTAGATGTAATGTATTCCTGTAACGCTATTGCAATTAACCGCATTGCCCTCTGTACAAGGTTCGATAAAACACTAGGTTTGACTAAGTTTTTAACTATCGTCCAAAATATTGTTATAATGACACTTTTTCCCCTCTGTTTCAGATCACCCGCCTCGGCAGCGCAGCGCCTAACCGGAGGTGCGCTTTCACCCCGGGGTATATTGCACCAGAGGCTGCCAACGGTGCCTTGACGTACGGGTAAGTGTGGTCTTAGTGATTGTCTTAGGCCAATCTTTTGGAATTTATATGCCAAGTCTCCGGAAATTTCTAATAGTAAGATGTTTCCATACTATTTTAATTTGAGAACTGAACGGATAAATATCATATACGTGCATACCATTTTCCCATATCTTTCGTCATACGTTTCGTAAACTTAATTTTGTTAATCGGATCGTATTTTCATAGTAGGCTGCGCCTAGCTTGTAAAATACGATTCCGTGCCAAGAAACAGCCTCTTTCGCTCCTAGTGATGAAAACTATAATTTCATTATCATACGGACAGTTGATTATAGCCGATTATAGTTCTCTGAAACATCAGCAAAATCACCCTTTTCCGGTTACTTAACACGGAGAACAGAAAAAATGCATATGGTATATTTTTAAGTTTGTGCCTGTAAACAACAGAAATGTAAACTTTGCATGACCTGACATTATGTGTTCTAATTTCGAAACTATTGGGAGGTTATTTCCACAGTATGATGAAAATTGCTGTTCATCACACTGAGCGAGAATGTCTTTTTTGGCAAATAATCATATTTACAAACTCTACAATACAATCTTTATTGCAATATGGAAATTAGGGATGTGTCGGTACCTAAAGTCGGTTCTCGGTACCACCGGTTCTTTGGAAAAGAACCGGTACCGAGAACCGATTTCAAAATGTCGGTACTAGTACTGATACCCGTAAGTTAATTTCGTAATACAAATACGGTAAAATCTATAACAGTTGTAATTATATACCCGTAACTAACAACTTTTTTTAATAAATATGCAAATAGTTAGTAAAATAATATGTTATTAGTACTTTTTATTTTTAGTACGTTCATTAATGAATTGTAAGTTTTCTTTAAGTTGAAAGTTTCGTCAGCTGTCGTCATCGTCAAGACAAGAATGCAGAACAAAAGACCGAGTCAACTGCAATAAATGGAGATCAAGATGACGATTTCCATTATGAATAAAAAAAAATATTTAAATCAGTCTAACATTATTATTTATTTACCATCTTCCTTCCCTTAACCATGATTTATTATTAATTGTTCAAAGTTCAGATTATATTAGTTTCTCTCTGTTAAGAAGTCGCCGAGTTGTTTATTTATTAGCGTCGTCGTCTGTTGTGGCGGCAGGCGGCGAAATGCCGAAGTTGTGGACATGACATGGAGAAAGAAGGTAAGATAGGTATAGGCACATAATTACTATATAAAAGTGTAATTGTTGAATTACATATGGTATGGTAATTCCATACCATAATTAATAGGGAACGAATGAAAAATAAATCAAAATTAATTTTAACTTTAATCCTCAATGAATTTCCAAGGGTAAATCAAACTTTTAGGAGAATGTTGTATCAAATTATATCGAGTAGTCGGCATACGCGGCTGCATAGTATAAAACCAAAGCCGGCTGTCAGCAGACGAGATACATATTTTCTCTGTGAAAAACATCAGTTCTTCTTTTCTTGGATCGCGCGTGATCGTAGCGTTTGTTGTAGTTGTAGCTGTTTAGTTCGGCTGTTATGCTGTAGGCCTAGTGTAGGTTAGTTTCAGTTTGAAAGTGTTTTCTAGCCGATCTGAGAGATTTTTGACTTATTTGATCTAGGTTAATGCCCTGTGACGAACAGTTAAATATAATGGATTAATATTTAAACTATTTTTAAGTGCCAGTGATAAAATGTCTTCACATGTTTGGTCGTATTTTAAGATTGATGAAGCAAACGATAAATTTGCCAAATGCAACTTATGTTGTAAACTTATTTCAAGAGGTGGCGGTGCCTCTAAAAGCACATCCAATCTGAAAAAACACTTGAAAACCCACAAAATTGACCTGGAGAGGAAAATAACTTCTCATGCAACTAGTTCTAGTTCAACTATGGACACTTTTCTAAAGAAGCCCGGTGAGCTGTCTCATACATCTGGTTCTAGGCCTAATTCAACTCCAGACACTTTTCTACAGAAGCCCAGCGCTACAGCTACAGCGTTTAGTGTGTTTCATGCCCCTAGTTCTAAGCCTAGCTCACTTCTAGACACTTTTGGACAAAAGCCTGGTGAGCCGTCAACTTCAACACAAGGTTTGGTACAATTTTATACAGGTAGGCCTAGGCCTTTGACACAATACCCATTAGAGACACCAACTGAACAAAGTGTTCCTATGTCAAATCTAGCCTCCAGTACAAATGAGGAACCTCTACATTTAGAAATCCCCCAGCAACAATTTGTAACATCACATCCGTCTGACTCTGAATCAATAAATGATCCTTCAACACCGGATAGTCTTTCCTCATCTACAACATCTCCCCGTGGACCTAGCTATCCTAAAAAGATTAAACTAAGCAAATCAAGAAAGCAGATAACTTTGCCCACTATGGCTGACCGAATGGCAAAATTTAAGGCAACAGATGGCAGGGCGCTGCAGCTTAACAGACTCGTAGCTGAAATGATATGTTTGGACCAACAACCAGTGTCTATAGTTGAAAATAAAGGTTTTAAGCGCCTGATCAATCACCTTGAACCACGTTACACAATACCTGCAAGAAAGACGTTTTCCAACAAAATCCTCACTGAGATGTATGAGGAGCTGGTTGGCAAAGTGCAACGAAAAATGTTGGAAGTGAAGCATGTTGGAAGTGAAGCACGTTGCAATAACAACCGACATGTGGACGAATATTTCACAGGTGGATTTTATGGCGGTGACAGCCCACTTTTTTACTAATGATGGATCCAGACTGCACAAATGTCTTGAAGTAGTCCCGTTTCCTGAAGTAAGCCATACAGGAGTTAATCTTTTAAACTTTCTGTTAAAAGTTTTGAATGATTGGAACATCAAAGAGAAAGTGGTCGCAGTGGTAAGGGACAATGGACCTGACATCACGTCAGCACTCGAGAGGTCCGAGTTCCAAGCTATACCCTGTGTAGCTCACACTCTACAGTTAGTAATTAAGGATGGTTTTTTTTGGAAATTAGCTTGGGGTGGATGTTATCAAAATGTTTAATGCCACTTGAAATCATTCAAAAATCTATTATCAAGATAGCACTAAAAAAATCGCCGTTATCCCTCAGATATTTTGTTTAATGAATTTAAAGCTCTTAACATGCCTCAACTCTTTACAAAAAATATTATTTTGTATATTCATAAAAACAAAAATTTCTTGTTCCGACATATTACACATCAATACAATACCATATCAACAACTAACCATGGAATTATTACCCCTAGATCAACGAAGTCAATAAACAGCACCTCCTCTTATTATCTTGCAAACATAATTTACTCCCAACTTCCACTAAGTAATAAATCCCCCCTCCTTGCAGTCTACGTACATACAAAAAGATTATTGACAAATGGCTGTTAGAAGTTGGCCGTCATAGAATAAGAAACTATTTAATCTACTATTTAATCTCCATGTGCTGATAGCTGAGAATGAAATGTTGAAGAAAGAGGTAGAGAGACTGCAGGGTACGGCCAAACCCCCCCCCCCCCCCAAGCTCAATGGCTGCACCTTCGTCCTCGGGAACCAACAAAAAACAACCTGGTGGAGTCAAACCCCCCACTAACTCTGGTGTGGAGACTTTAGAACCTCCCGTGGCTGGAACTTCAGCTGGAACTTCGTCCTCGGAACAACCTGGCCCGTGAGGAGGAAAATGGACTGAACCACATCAGCCTTGGCGGAGAGGAATGTTCCAACTAGGCTGGCGCTGGATTATGGCCCCCTCTCCGCCCTGCTTCGTCACCCCTCCTGTGATGTCCGCCCAAAAAGTAGTGACATACCGTGATACCGCAAGTTACCAGCTACTTGTTACCTGTTATTTTTAATTAATTTATAATTAAGAAACCATAATTATTAGATCAATATCTTATCAGCATCAGTAGAAAAAAATTGTTTGTAAAACTCTACGTGTTTGATGCCGAAAACTTTCTCCGTCTACACATGTATAAATTTTGCACACATATAATTTTTATATGGTAAGATAGACATATTAAATAAAAGAACAGAGGGGTAATTATGGGACAGTTTTGGGGGCTATTCTGGGACACTTGAGGGACAATTACAGGACAGATTCGTTTACTCAATTTTATTATTTTGTTGACATTATTTTTATGCCTTTTATTTTGTTTCAGGTTTTGTTTAATAATGAGTGTTAAGTTATAAAGAAGAAATTTAAAATGGTGCGAAATTATAAGAAAAAAAGAACCGAAATATGCGCGGAAGGTGTTTGAACAAGCAGTTAACGAGGTTAAAATAGAAAAGAAATGTATTGCAACTGTATCAATAAAATCTAAAATATGTAAGAGTACTTTGGTACTTTTAGTAAACTAGTGCTGAAAGGTGATAACAAAAGTAGCGGTAGGTAGACCGCCTTTTCCCGAAAACAAGAAGATGAACTTATTAATTATGTATCAGTTATGTCAAAGTGGGGGATTTGCCTTATCCAGAAGAGATGACATTGAAATTGTAAGGGAATATGTTGAATTAAATGACCAAAACACCCTTCAAACATGCTAAACACATTAAAGTTGGAGAGGTATAAGAGGAAAAGCCAATCAAAGGAACCAACTCAAAAATGTAACACCAACACCAATGACATGAGTCAGCAAAGCAATCTAGGCTAACCAAACACCCTAACTTCCGATGACTCGCTCACTCAACCATCAACTTCTAATAACATGCAGTCTGAACCACCAACTTCTAATAACATGCAGTCTGAACCATCAACACCTAATATGCCACCTCAGCGATCTCATATTTCTAATCAGGCCACAGGTGGTTTTTTAGGTACTGTGTGGTTTTATTAGGGAATTTATCAGCTTTTTTTCGCGCGTCAGTTATTGTTTTCTAGTTTGGAGGTTTTCACTGACTGTTTGAAAAACTCGTTGTTAGTGAATTGAATTGTTTTATCGTTTTGTATATTCTTATTTATACTTTGTTTTACTGACTGCTACTAAAATTAGTAGCCAGTAGTCTTATTTCTTGTTAGTTAATAATTTATT